TTCACTATGGGAATTAAAGTGTTCGCAGACAACAGGATCCTCCTGAAACGGAAGCTTTAATAATATTTATCATAGTCACCAAAAAATGCGAACACGAAAATAACGTACTCGAAGCTCTTGTGGGTAAGCATCATTGAAATCTGCAAGGCTTCTCGCTTTAACAGCTGCAGCAATGGCCCTTAGCGCTTCTAAGTCAGACCCAGAATATTTCGAAGCGAGTTTACCCGATAGCAGCTTATTAACGTCGTCTGGTTCGTCCATCATTACCTAAAATATGTAAGGAATATAAAAGCTGGAAAACTCAATATTATCTAAAACGTATTGAAGAAATTGAAAACCTGAAGAAAATTTTTTAGTACGGGAACGACGTAGACTGTTCTCGTCAATCAACAGAAAGACAAACTTTGCAAAGAGGCATATATTTCAGTGATAACAATACAAGTTTTTCCTCCCCAGCGAAATCATAACCTTCACATAATTCATAAAAGTATGAAAACGCTGCTAAAAAGTTTGTCTCATCTGCCGCATTAAGGATGCCTGATTGCAGATCGAGCGCAGCCTGAGCGAAAAAGATATATAAGGACAGACAAGTCTCTAAACTAAGTAAATTCTACAGACTAAGGAGTGACGACGCAATAAATCAAAACTTAAACCTGTGTTTTTTGCGACAGTAGATTAAAATACTTTACGACTACAGAAGGATTGTTTAGAAAGTTATTTACATCTATGCAACCTAAGTGCGCTGCAGCATACTTCAATGCTCACCTTGTACTTCTGAAAATGTGCTAGCACAGCAAACGCTGCAAAGTGCCCTCATAACTTCAACACAGTTGCAACATCATCCTCTCAACTGTTCAAATCAAAGCTTTTTCATGCAATGGCTTATTTTCTAGCAATATCTTTCGTGTTCAATCCATTGCTTCACCAAGACATATGAAATGCAGCTAACTTGCTCAAGAAAACCTATTTTCAGTACATTTTTACACATTTCTTCTTCGGACAGCTCTGTTAACTAACGAAAATACTTTTTGGCTGGTAAAAATTTAGAGGCTGCTAAGATATCTTTATGGTTTTTGACAACTACTTTGGTTGAAGATTTGAGACCCCGACGACGTTATTAAAGACATTTGGTCTTATCGCTTTAAAAACATAATAAATTTCTCTTATTGGCCAGTTTACCCTAATTACAACTCATCTTTTTGAAAGGCAAAAAAGTCAGAACTTTTAAGGAAAACGAGATGTTTTCCTTCTCTACAGCACAAAACTTCGGGTATACAGTGTCTTCTATGTACCTTATGTATATACGGCTTATCACCGTTAAGCGAACGAATGGATCGGTTGCCCGATTTTCAAAACGTCGATTACGTAGTTCACAGCCCAAGTACCCAAGTTTATTCACATATGTTCGCACAACAGATGCTTAAAAAAACAGGAAATGTTGGCGTGGTTGTTGTAGGTATTGGCAAAAATTCACAGATCACTGGCTCCATGCAGGATAACAGTAAATACAGTCGATGGGCATCTTGCAAGATAGGTTTTTATAGCTGAAGAGACGAAGGAGAACAGCCGAATTCAATTCGAAATAACTGGTTTTTAGCCCCAATGGTGCTGAGATATTTGTAAAAGTCCGGACTGTAGGTGTCTGCAGTGGGAGATCGACGCGCTGTTACCGTTCCCTGAGGCTGACGCGTTCACCACTACGTCATGCGGCTCCTTCGTTCTCCTGTCTCACCGCTAGTTTTCTATCGATCAATGCCATCAGCAATCACCTGTAAACGGGATTGATCTGGGCAGCTCAAATCGGCAATGAACCCAATTAAGCTGAAGCTGTAGTCGAAATTACGATATTATCCTTTTACTTACTGCCTTCTTACTGCTTTACTTGTTGTATATATCTTAATACCACTGTGGTATTATTATTCATAATACTCTGTAGTGAAAAACTGCAATAGGTGCTATGTAAAAAGTTAACAGTTTCCAGGACTGACTTTCTATAAACATCGGCACTGGATTGTAAATTCGTCGTTATCTCTCTCGGCAATCGCGAGGTTGTTAAACAGAATTCTTACTTCCATGCAATAATACACATACAACGCAACCGCAACTGACGTTTCGGCAGTATCGCTTTCTTCAAAAAACACTTAGATGACAAACGAAAAGCAAGACTAAGTACCTCACTAGAGACGCATAGGATGCAAAAGCATAGTGGAGACGATTTTGATATAAAGGACACTATCCTAGAACAGGATGCCAAAGCACCTACGCGGAAGCCTCTTGAGGCTTTTTAGATAAATGCTGAAAACTCTAGAATGTATAGAAGGAAGGAATGCCTCGAGAACACACGTGATCTCGCTCTACCTTCGCATCGATAGTTTATGTGGGGAGGTGCAATCGCCAGCCATATGCGACTCTGATCAACGGCTTTCCTCAGTGGAAGGCACGTAAAATAGCAGTGGGTTTTTCGAGAAGCTGTTGACCACGTGTTTGCCATTTAGACTTTCATCTTTCTGCATGTGTTATTAAAGCATTTAACCTAGTTAGTTGCGTATTAATGTACCCCTCCAGGCTCTGAAGAAAGCGATACTGCCCAAACGTCAGCCACGGTTGTGTTGTATGTGTGTTATTACATGGAAGTAAACGTATTCGGTTTACAACCTCGCGATTGCTGAGAGAGAAAACAACGAATTTAAAAAGTTAACATTGTAACAGGATTTTGTTGGTCCACAAATGATACATATGTGTGGATAAGATAGCAACTGAATACAAACAACTAAAATGAGAAGTTTTTGCATACTAAAACAAATGACTGTAGAGATAGTTATATTTGTACTAGTTGACGTCGCTCGGACATTTCAAGTCTGTGTCAAGCTTCAGCTGAAAACAACTCTCATCAGATTTCGTGTAGGAGAAAAAGACACCCGCCTGTATCTCAGGTGGTACATACATGGAATTTGCAATAATCCGTGCTGCGGTTAACGAGATTCGAGCTTTCTCGATGTTCCGAAGATAATAAAATGCCTTGCTCCCTTTCAATTCCACTTCCATTAATACATCTTTGTTGTCCAGCTTTTTCAGTTCACGAATTAGATTAGGAGCTAAAAAAACTTACCTACAATTATATTGCTTAGTCTATTCACCGAAGTAACTAAATCGAAAACTGTGTGGCTGCTATTGCTGATTAATTCCACTGCTTCTCAAAGAGTGGATTACGTTATATCGAAATGAAAATTAGGAAATAGCAGAGCGAAAGAAAATTGGATGCACGGTGAGGTAAAAGTGAGCTAAACCATAATGAATCAAAAAATTTGTCAGTGTGAACCTAAAATTAAAAAAAAGTGGGTAAATAAATGACGTTCACCAAGTGAAAGGCAGTGGATATATCGGCGAAGGTCATTGAACAACCGAATCAAACAGGCTTCAAGTGTTTGACGAAGAAATGTTCGATTATGATCGATGGCGCACTGGATGCATTCACGTACCAGTTCGATCTGAAATGGTTCCAGCGCAAACTCTCACATTCTAGCTAGACAAAAACTGTTACTGCTTGCAGAACACCTCAATTAGCAAGAGCATTTAAATCCAGGAAAACTTCTATGTTCTTATCTTGGGCATCAATCATGAGACAGAGATCCACCAGATTCCGAAGCAATTTTGCAGCCACTGCTATTCCCAGTGACGCCAAGAACGGACGAGTCCCCTCAATCATCTGCAAGACGACTGTAAAAGCAATACTAGTGCAAACTACTTCTTGATAAAAGGGAGATTGCTTAGCAAATAGAAATTTTTGAAAGGTAAACGAACTCTTCTTAGTTCCTAGGTTTTTCCTCTTGATATCAACACCATTCAAAGCCGGAGTTTTCATTTGAAAAACATTCAAACAACGTCAGCGCGTAGAAAAGTTCATAGGAAAACAGAAAGAAAACGCGAACTGCTCACCTTTTTCGAAGCTTAACAATCTTCAAAAGTGAAAAAGCATAAATAAAAGAGGAAACATTAGTGCGTTCGATCCCCACCACAGTCACCTGCGGTCAAAAGTTTTGCGGATATCTTAGCATCGCTGTGGTTGTATCACACATTACACCCTGCCCGTGGAAGAAGGGAAAAAATTGTAAAAACCAATAAGTAGAAAAGTTAATACTGGGATTTGAAACATATTTGTGGATGAGACACGACCACAGATCGACCGGACGTTGGAAAGGAATCTATCTTGCTTCATATATTTATTTATGTGATCTCATAAACTGATCTTCTTAAGCTGACGCGAAGTTCGTACAGATCTTCGTTGTCGTTGTTGTTGTTTTTGATGTCATTGATCGATGGCTGACGTTTCGGCGATTTCGCCTTCCTCCGAGCCTGGAAGTACTTTATGTTAGAATATTTTTTATTATTCGGTGGAAAAGAAGGCTAAAGTATTAATGAAGATCAAATTTTCAAATAGAAGCCATATTGAACAGAAAGGCCACGCACCGTGATGTTACGTGCGGGACTGGCCCACACGTAGTTCACGCGGATTCGCGAGCAAGACACGCCCCGGGGTCAAAAAAATCATTTTGAAATAGTGCGCCAGGTCACGCGTGATAGTGAAGCATTCAACTTTCCGGTTCATCTTTGGTTTTCTGAAATTTAACCAAAATTCCTCAAGAGTTTTTCGCGCTGATGTTTTTGATTTCTTAACTGGGATCCGCACATTCACTTCAAAATCATCGCCGTTGTGCTTTTGTGCCCTATGCGTACCTAGAGGGGTGTTTAAACGGATTTTAGCTTTTCCATCTAGATGTTCTTTTATGCGGACACAAAGTGGTCTACCCGTCTCCCCGATATATTCCTCGCCGCATGCATTACATGAGAACAAGTATATTATATCTAAACTCATGCAATCCCCGTCTCTCCCGTTAGGACAGATCATACAGTTTTCTGAGCTGCACAAACGATCATAGAGACGGTTTTGTACTAACTGGCGGCGTAGGGTATTGAGTGGGATGTCAATAATCGTTACATAATTTTGAAGACCACTTTTTCTTAAGCACTTTTTAATGGCGTGACTTACTTCATTTGATATGAAGGGCAGCTTAAAGGGGATCCTACTGTCGTCTGAAATATTATTTTGGGAAACTACCCAACGCTTTCCTCTAACCCGAGTGGCTTCTACTTCGTAGCCATTGGAAATGGCAATTTTCTGTGCCAGGCTTCGCGATTCCTTCCTTTCCTCTTCTCCTGTACACACATTTTTAGCCGTACGATACATATTTTTGATAAGTGCTTTTTTCATGTGTGAAGAATGAGAGGAGAGCCAGTGAACTAGAATGTTTTTACTAGTTGGCTTGCGATACCATTTTGTTACATAGCCACTTACTGAGAGCTTTATTTGGATGTTTAAGAATGGAAGCCAGTTCTCGGTAGGTTTTTCTCGTGTAAATTTTATATACTCTGATTGTTGGTTTAATAATTCAAAGCACTCACCCATCTGTTCTCGTGTGGAACAGACGATGAAGCAGTCATCTATGTATAGACAGTAGAGTAAAGGTCGGTGATCGAGAACTGGAGCTTCCACCTTAGACATGAAAGCGATGGTGCTAAACGCTGCCCTATCGCGAACCTCCTAATTTGTACAAAATATTTTCCAGACCACCTAAAGATTGAACAACTAAGACACTGGCTTGCATTGCGGAGTCATTGGACACGTTGGTATAAAGTAAACTAACATCGAATGAATCCATTATATGCGCGCTGTTTGGTTGCGCGCGCCTTAGGTGATCCAGAAATACTTTGGTGCTAGGTAGATGGGTTGGGATGAATTTCAGCAGCTGGGTTAGGATAAGGTTTAGGAACCACGTTATTATATCCGTTGGCCCGCCTATACAACTGATGATAGGTCTAACTTTATATGATGATGGGTTCGTTGACGTAATATCATCAGTTAAAGTAAGCTTATGTGTTTTGATAAGCAAGTAAAAAACAGGGCAAATCGGGTGTTCGTTCTTAAGTCGAGAAATAACTGAAGACTCTAAACCCGCGGCCTTTGCCGTGCTGACCCATTCTTGATTCAATTTTCGGCATTGACTTCTGTATTCCTTTTCAGAGGATGTTCGATAGAGAGAAACATCACTGAGGTGCTCCTCTGTTATCCTAATATCCAACTGCCTAGGAAGAACTACAAATTCTCCGCCTTTATCACTAACAGAAAGTCTAACAGATTTTGAATTCAAAAGCTCTCTAACCTGGCGCATACCACATTTTTGTTGGTTTGTGAGGTTCGAGCTTCTTTTCGTTTTTAGTAGTGATTAAGTATGCGAAGAATTTCGTCCGAAAATAAACGAAATGTAGGATCAATATCGCTATTTGGTAGCTCTTGTTTAAAGAAAGTTCGGAGAAAGGGTATTGGTGGCAGCTCTTCCCTTGGTAGTACTTTAGCTAACCTTTCTAGCCTAACCCTGTAACGTAGCTGATCTTGAAGTTCATGTAGACTACACCTGATCCTGTGCAGGATTGGTTTAGAAATGGGTTGACTAGGTGCAAAACTCGGACCCAATTCTAACAAGGAACGCACATTTTCCGGAAGCGTTATACCTCCTAGCACAGTAAATCTGGATGTTCTTGGTGCGCAGTCTATTTCAGGGCTTTTACTTGGGACTTGACCAGCGGTGGTCTTTTGATTTGACCTTTTTGAGCGGCGTGATAGATCTTTAACTTTTTCCTTAACTTGCTCTTAATATCAGACCGAATCTTTCCGCATACCGATTTAGAACCAGCTACTATTCTCTTCCGAAAATTTTTCTCCAAATGCTGAGGACAATGGTTTTCTTTGTAAACACATTTGTTTAATAGTGAAAACATTTCGTTTTGTGTGCACCGCAATGAAATGTGTAGCAGTTTCATTTCGATGGTCAGCATTTGTCGTGAGCTCTCCGGTAAGCCGCATAATTCGTGTAAATTCCTACGTTTTATAAAGTTAGGAATAATTCGATGTTTTAAGCAGCGGCGTAGAAAGTAGGTTTATAGAGCACCTGATGGCACTCTTAAAGGAATGCTTAAGCTGCTCAATCTTCAGATGGTCTGGAAAGTACTAGTACTTTCCAGACCATCTGAAGATTGAGC